TTCTCATGTAGACACACAACACACAATACATGCACAAACACAAACACATAACTGTAACCAATCAAACACTCGCAAATCAAACTCACACACCATTATATTGTCACTAATACAGATTTATGATTGAAATCATTAAGCAAATGAACCGTCTGTTGAAATGATACTAAGAAAATCTTATTTGATTGTAAGTCTCTACATTCCTCCATATATTTTCCTAAATAAATTGATAATTTGTTACAAACTCTCTAAATTCTTACTTATATCAATCTAAATCATTCCAGGGTAATGTAATTAATTTTATTGAATCCAACTAACGAAAAAAGTAAGGGGTCTTATGTTTCGGATTTACAATTGTTTTATTTTGACTCACTTATTTCGATAATTTTTATATTTCAAATATTTTCAGGTATACATTGAAGGATACTTGGTATAAGTTGTAAAGAATATGAAGTTGTTTCTTTATTTTGTGTATGTGTGTATTTTTTGTGTTCCGTCTTTTGTAAAGTTAACTAATTATACATAATTATGATGATTTTGGGTATGGAATGATGGTTGTTTTGGTGGTTTGGGTATGTAGTGATGATTGTAAGTTTTGTAGACAGGTTTATATTTTTCTGTATATCTATTTTTAAAAGAAATTCTGCATAAATTTCTTGAAATTAGTAGGGATTAACTTGATGTTTTGGTGGTTGGATATGTGTTGATGATTGAATACGTATTAATTCTGCATAAATTTTTCGTTACGCCGTGCCTTCAGGCACGGGCAATTACTAGTTTCTTATATCACACAGTTTGTGACCTAATATAATTATAAATATCAAAAAAAAAAAAAAAGGACCAAATATAATTATAAAGTCATTTACCGAATAAAAAATAAAATAACTCAACATCATGCAACGTGTCGATGCCATCTAACCAAAGCTATCCATTGACCGCTATCTCTTGTTGGGTCGCACATCCACAGTCCTGCTTACTGTCCAAACACTCATCAGCAAACGAACACGTGTGCTTCCCCAATTTGTCTCCGGTTAATCAAACACAGTGACTGCTTTTAGGGTTCAAAATCTTCGTTTTCACAGTTAAATTATAAATCTTTTTGACCCATGATTCAATTTTGGAGGGCTTTTTCAAAAAGATTGTAATTTTTGAAAAAACCCATTAACTTGATTTTGAATTTCACGTCCCAGATGACCTCAAGTGGGTTGTCCCCAGGTGATTTAATTTTGGAGGACTTTTTCAAAAGATTGCAAGTCTCTGAAAACCCATTAACTTGAGTTTGAATTTGTCGCCTAAATGACCTCAAGTGGGCCATTGTAACAGGGATTGGATAGTGATACAGTTGCTTTGTTTGGGAAGCTTTCATTGCATCTTCTTCATTGTCATTAAATTCCATCCTTTCCATTCGGTTGCCATCGAAAAGATATTATTCATTTATTAAATAAATTTGATAATCAATTTTATAATATTTTTGGAAAATATCATACTTTTTTGGGATGGTTGTATCATGTATGAAGATTGTCCCTTGTATTCCTATAAATATGGGTTTGAAATTGTTCGGATGAGCATTCTGTTTCTGGGATTTGCAGATTTGGGTGTCTCTGGCCGTGAACATACATTTCTCCAGCTTGGGGTAAGCCATTCCCTACAGTCTGGGTTCTTTTTACATAGGGGTCCTTTTGAACATGGGATTGTTGTGCTTGAATCAGTTTATTGTTCATTTGTTATGGTTTTTGGATACTTGTTTGTTTTTCTCATCCGGGTATCTATTGTTTTTTTTGAATTCTAAGATAATCTAACAGTTCCATTGTTTTGAGTTTGAGTTGCATTTATGGTGGCAGTGTTGAAATGCTAGTAGCTGTCTTTCATGAAATCTTGAGTTTTAGGGTCAATATTAACATTTAAAATCGATCCCAACCACTCCAAAATGCTGCATACATTCCTTTTTAGAGCTTGAGGGTTAAAGACAGCTATAGGCTTCCCAGATTGTTAAGATGGAATTTGCATTCAATTTGGAAGGGTTAAAAAAAAAATCTGAATAATGGCTGTTAGCTTCCAGTTTTCCTGTGTGCCTCTTCATTTGAGTGGTTATCGTAGTCCTCAAACCATCTATTTACGAGTGTTATTTTACTGATTTTGTTTACATATTTTGAAGTGTTATATATTTAGATCCCATTGTCTCTTGCCAGGATTGAACTGAATTTATATTAACCTATATCAGCTTTCTTGTCAATCTGAATCTGGCTTCCATGTTCTATTCATAAGTTCTCTTTTGCTTTATCGTTTATTTTTTGGTCTTCTTTTTGTTTGTTGGGAGGCAAATGCTAAATTGAAGGAAACTGGTGCAAGGCGAATGCACCAGGGTTCAAATATCATCATCATCAAACGCTAATCTATTAAAACCATTTGTGCACTGGCATGGATTGATTTTTAGTCTTTTCTTTTTTCGATTGATATAATACTTAGAATCATACCCATTGGAATACCTTGTGGGAGATTTTTTTTTTAGTCTTGATATAATATTGCTATGTAATTTAAATGAATCTTTTTGTTTTTTTAGCTAGCTTTTGATTTTCTTTCTTATAGCATTTTAAGCTTAATGCCATTACTTTTGTCCATTCAAGTCACATCTAGTTGGACAAACTAAAGGTTTTATTCTCAGAATTTGGTTGCATGGGACTGTGTGCTTGGCTGTATCTGCCTAGCGATATTGTTGGGTTTCAATTGCTTCTTAAATTTGTAATTAGGTTGACCTACATATAATGTCTATTTTGTATCATATAGGGCTCATTTGGTTGACATATTATGAGTGGATTAAATACTGAATTGGGTTACAATTTGTTTAAATGGGCCTAATACTTCGTTTGTTAGCCAAATTTGATCCCATATTATGTATAGGATTATGGGTGTATTTTAATCAAATCCTTTCATTTATAATACAGCAACCAAACAAGCCCATATAGTTTAAGGGACAATATGAGATGAATTTTGTCCATTAACATCATTACAGTTATGATATTGTTATTGGGTTTTAATGAAACTTTGTTTTCAGGTCTAATGTAAGCCTGGTATCAGGCTTGGTGTAATGCTGTGAGCAACAAGAGTCTTTTCTTAAGACACGGGAATTTCTTTGCATCAATGGATGACATTTTGGCCCGTCTCTTTGCCTTTACTTCTTATATAAGCAGTCGATTCATTCACTATATTGGTGAGTTCTTTGATTTGTCTACCTTTTATGCTTGTTGTTTTGATAGGTATCCCTTGTCATCAACAACTGTAAAATACAGGAATTATATAGTTTTGCTGTTTTTGGAAGCCATCTAGTGAAATTTTTTTGTAATGACTTTTAGAATCTAATTGCTGCATTATCCCTCAATGGTAGCACAGAGGATCTAGTCTTCCGAGATGTCAACAGATGCTCAGAAAATTTGGTGGCCATTTTTTCTGCTCAACAGCCAGGACCATCAAGTTACAGCAATAGCATATCTGCTTCTGAGGCTTGTTCATCTTCTCCAAGACCTTGCAATGCTAGTACAAGTCTTGGGATCCATGAAACAAGAATGTCATATCTCAAGAGGCAGTTGCTTGTAAATTCAAGATTCAGAATTGTAAAAAGTAATTTTTGTTCTTGGGGTGTCCGCTTCATTTTTAAAGGGTATTGGACTCCTACTTCTGATACTAAATATAATGATTCTGCAGTATCCTGTTTTCTTATGGTTACTTGATTCAGGCTGAAATCTTTTGTGTTTCCCCACCATTTTTCTCTTGAATGAAATGAATGATGAATATGTTCAGACTTTGATTTTGTTTCAATTTTGTTGTTATACCTTTTTTTTATCAAAGCATTACTAGCCTAAACTTATCTTGCAGTTGGTTCATCTGGTTGTAGGTTGACGCTCCCTTCATGTGGTCTCAGATTTGCTTGGAGGGTGGCATTGGCCTCGTGGAAATTTACTTTTCGTTATGTTAGATGTACACAAGTTCGCTTGAGGAGGTAAACAAATTGCTTTTTAACATTGTCAACCAGTGGTTCAATTGCTGAAATGGAGTATGGAAATGTTTTCTTCAAATCTATTTGCTAGAGTTGATATCCTCTGTGCATTGTACATTGTGTAACTTACTAACTTCTATGTGATCAATTTCTATAGAACTAGGTTCCCTTTTTTAACACGTTATCTCATTTTGGTTCTTTGGCATTAATCTCTATAGTACTAGTTTCCTTTTTTGTTGTACTGAATCTCATTTTGGATCTTTAGCATTATCTCCCGTATGCGGATAACTTGGTGTGGTTCTTCTGATGACATTGGATGGTTGCAACGAGATCCTCGAATGGCTCCTGTGGAGGATGGTTCAGGTAGATTTCTGGAATTGCTACAAGGCATAAGGTATGAAATCTAATTTCGGTAATATCAATTTTACCATTTCTAATGCTCATAACAAAATCTAATTTTGTTTGGTATATCTATGGTTCATTCCTTTTCTGGAATCTTCATGAAGTTTGTCTGAGGCGTCTCCTAAAGTGGAATACACTCTTCGCCCCTCGTCCAATAGTCAAAATAATTTTGAAAATGGAGCATTCAGTTTTGGTCAGTCTGTTGTTTTTTTGCAAATAGAATTGATGCATAATATTAATGGGTTAGTTTGTCCCCATTTATCATGAAATTAGTATCCAATTATGTGTTATTGTTTTAGAAATGACAAGATTTATCATTTTCAAATAAGATGGTTAATAACACTTTTGGTCCCTAAAGTATACATTTTTTGTCAATGTAGTCCTCAATATATTAATTTTATCAATTTGGTTCCTAAAATATTCAATTTTGCCATTTTGGTCCCTACATAGACGGGCTGTTAAGTTTTTTGACAGAAGTGATTACGTGTCATTTTTTTAGACAGTATCACGTGCCCAACACATGCGTCAAAAACTTAATGGTCCGTCTATGTAGGGAATTCTGCATTGGATAAAATCCTGCCCTGGCCAAGAGAATTCTGCATTGGATAAAATCTTTTGTCCATTCGTCAAATGTGGGAAGGGACTGCAGGTGTTGCCTAGCTTCTTTAATGTCATAAAAGCTGGAAACTTAAGTCCCATTTTGTATTTTGTTGTTGCAGCATTGTATTGTTATGAAATTTTGATACATGCATCGATTAATGCTTCTATTTTTTGAACTATAAAATTGATGGGCATTTTTTCTGTTGTGCACACTGTTCATGAGATGAAATTCATTGGTTCAGACATGATAAGTAAGCTCTACTTGGAATGAATTTTGCTTTTATTCAGGAATGGAGAGCACAAGCTGCCCGATTCATATGTTTATCTGCTAATTCCAGGTGTGAAAAATTTCTCGATCTTACTTTTCTACTCATCCATTAAAATTTGCTTTGGTTTATGGCTCCATTGTCTTGTGAAATTCATTGTCAGGGCTTTTTAGCAATCATGGTCCCTTATATTTTGTGAGCACCAAGAGGTTCTTTTCAAAGATGGGTTTACCTTGCCATATTGCAAAAATTCACAGCGAGGTATAAAAAGCGATTCTCCTCAATTTTCTAGATATTGAAGGGAACTTTGGATGTTTTCGTCCAAACCCAAAAACATAGTTTTTTGTCATTATTTCTCTGTATCATGGTCGTGTCCTCTTCCAATTGTTCTTTCTTTCCTGCAACTTCAACAAATATCATATCATTTTCTCTAATATTTTAAGTGATTTATGAAGGCACCAGTGGAGCACAATGCATGGGTATTGAAGCAATACATTGAGGAGCTGTACTGGGGGTCTGGCAAACGAGTGATGCTGCTTGGTCACAGCAAGGGTGGGATTGATGCTGCTGCTGCTTTGTCTCTTTATTGGTGTGACTTAGAGGACAAAGTTGCTGGATTGGCGGTGGTGCAATGCCCATTCGGTGGCACTCCTGTAGCTTCTGATATTCTTCGTGAGGGCCAGATAGCTGACAAGGAAACCCGGAGGATCATGGAGCTCATTATATGCAAGCTCATAAAGGTAATTCCTTCTCTTGGCCTAAAATATGCATAGCCTTATATGGAGTTGAGGAAATCATTGCAGCATGATTTGAAGATATATGTTTCTTAGCCACATATAACCCAACTTAAAAGGGAGTGGTTTTGATGTTGGAAAAAACTCAGCAGAAGTCTATATATGCTTGAACAGCTGGTCCTGTTTTTGATCCTCTAAATTAGTGGTACTCGTGAAACTTAGCAGCTATACAACTGGCCTCTCCCTTTGGTTGTTATATCGATGATGAACTCGGGAAACTACATTTTTCATTCCACATGTTTTGGTTTAGCCGTGTTTATATTGTTCATTATAGGCTAATTGCAGTCTATTAGTTCACACCAAAGCTCAGCTAAAGCTCAGCTAGAGGAATGGTCTTAACATAGTGTGTGTAGGGCTTATACACATCTTGAATTCCTGCTATTCTCATAATCAATTGCACTGATTTCATTTGTTTCCCCTGTTTTATATTTAGCAATATGTTTACATACTGTATTTTCGTAAACAGGTTTGTTGTTTATAAGAAGTAAACTAAGGTAAAATAAACTTTTATAGGGTGACATGCGGGCATTGGAGGACCTGACATATGAGAAACGGAAGAAATTCATTATGACGCACAAGCTACCCCAAAATATTCCTCTTATCTCCTTCCACTCTGAAGCGGGTGTAGCACCGGGTGTCATTGCCACATTGGCCCACATTGCACACGCAGAACTTCCTTGGTTCCCTTTTCATAGTCTTGGCAGTGAGGAGTCTGAATTTGTTGTCCAAGGGGGGAGGAGGGTGCCAGTGGTGTTTCCTTTGTCTGCTGCAATGGCTGTGTGTGCACTGCACCTGCGACTAAGGTATGGCGAGAAGAGTGATGGGATGGTTACATGCCGTGATGCTGAAGTTCCAGGCTCGGTTGTCGTGAAACCAAATTGGAAACTTGATCATGGATGGATGGTTTTCTCTTCGTGGAAGAACGATCAATGTGAGAATGGTGCCTGTGAAATTTCTGAGGCTCTGTTGACTCTGCTTGTGGAGCTTGGCAAGGGAAGGAATGGAGATATAGGTTAGGAAGTAATACTTCTGAGAAGTGTTTTCTTGCTTAAAGTTCTACTCTCTTGGAAACAACTTGTATAATGAAATGAAATGGCAACAAATGTTGCTTAATAGCTGCAAATCTGACCAGTCCTTGCACTTGCTTAATTTTAGTGCTTTGAATAATCTATGGGAATGCTATTTGATTATTTTGTCTATAAATGGCCCAAAAAGAGATGAGGGGCAGTATACTAGCAGGATTTCAAAAAGGTTTTCTTGAGAGTTAGCAATGGGCCGGGCCAGTTTTTTGGGATCAAACCCTTTGTCGGTTGGGCTACTTGGGCTTTGATCAATTGACAGGCCAGCCCATTGAAAAATATCCATACCCATGGGTCAATGACCTGCCTGATGGGCCAACTAGCAGGCTGCCTCTAATGAGCCTTAAATAGAGCTTTTTTTAAAATAATATTAGAAGAAGTAAATTAATTGATAATAAAAAGTGGTTATATTAAAAAGAAATAAATATAATATCAGGCCAGCTTATAGGGCCAGATTATTGGGCTTTCAATAGTCTAGCTCATTGGGACATAAGCTTTTATATGGCATGATCTCATCATTCATGATATACCACTGTGTTTGGTTGGAATGAAAGTTGGATGGATGGAAAATGGGGTGGATGTAAAGGTTTTTCACTGTTTGGTATTAAAGGAAAGAATGATGGAAAGGAAAATTGGATAGAGAACTTTTCTCTCTTGCCCACAATTTGTTTTCCCTCCAAAAAATGGGAGGAAAATGAGAGGAATGCAGGACAATTTCACTTTTAAGGATTATTTTATTTTTTTACCCTTTGCTATTATTTACTTGAAAATTAATATAAGGGTAGAATTATAAATTGAGCATGCATATTTTTTCTTTCCTTTCATTTTTCATCTAATACCAAACGATGAAAAATATATCATTTCTACTTTTCATCCCTTTTACCAAACAAAATAGAAAGAAAATAATTTTTTTTCCTTCAAGAATGAAAAGTTTATCCCTTCCACTTTTCCTTTTTTCCTACTTTCTATCATTCATACCAAAAAGACCATACGTGTGCAAGTTCTCTGTCTCTGTCTCTGTCTTTCTCTATCTATCTCACACACACACATGGAGGCAATAATAATGGTTTTTCTAATTAAATGAACATTGTCATTTATGCTTAAAACGAGGCCTTCAAGTTCAAAAGTTTGTACACGTGCGTGTATACTATAGGAATCGGAGATTTGTATTAAATATATTCAATGTACATTCAGACATATGGTGTATATATAGTGGACAAAATGTAAAAGATTGTGTACAAGTGAAGATTGAATCCTATGATCAGTTGCGGATAGAGTTGCACAAAGAGATAAGGCTTGTTTTGTTGCTTAATCCATTATCTCTAATACACACTTATGTAGGCACAAACACATGTGTGTTTTATTTCATTTGATTACTCATGCCTATTCGAAAGCTTTATTGTTTTTAGGATCTGGATCCGTTATTCATTCAATGGAAACTCTTGTGGAATATTTGTCAAATAAAAGTCAAAATATAGTTCTTATGGGGGGTTTAACAAAACATGTGTCAATTACCAAAAATACACACCCCCTAACACTAATGGTGTGTTTGGGTAATGAGTTAAGGTGGGTTAACCTCCATAGGGATAGGGTAATAAGGCAATGGGTCTCACAAAAATCTTTGTTTGGGAAGTCAAAATTGAGATAGGATATAAATCCCGGGTCTATCCTTGACTCAGATGCTACAGTGTTTTTTAACCCTGTTACATGGGTTAAAATTAACCCCCCCTTCACCCTGGGTTTCAATCCTAGCCGATGGGTTATGAAGGATAATGACATATTTACCCACCTTCCTCTCTTGAGAGCTCTCTCTCTATCCAGACCTCTACCTCTCACTCTTTGTCTGTCTCCTCTCTCTTTCTCTCTCTCTCTTTTTCTCTCTCTCGCTTTGTGAAGGCGACAAAGCCCAAGCCCAGGGTTTCTATTGGGATGAGTTTGGGTGCCGAAGTGGACAGAATGAATAAGAGATCTTCACTAACACCACCCCTAACCATGACTGTTCACAGTCCAAATCATCCACCACGATGGTGGATGATTTTGAAAGTCTAATTTCTCTATCTTTCAGATCTGATAATGGTGGATGTTTTTATTGTGGTGGATGTTTCTATTGTGTGGTGGTGGTGGCGACGTTTATGTTGTGGTGGTGGGTGTTCTATTGTGGTTATGGTAGGATGTTCTGTTGTGGTTGTGGTGGTGGGTGTTATGTTCTATTGTGGTTGTGGTGGTGGGTGTTGTGGCGACGCTGGTGGTGACTACTGTACAGGTCTGGTTCATCAATAGGTATCAATGGGTACAATGATAAATATCTATAAAAGCCAAGTGGAGTCTATCCCATTCAATTGTTCCTTGCCAAACAATGGTTTGGGTTGGATGGTATACATAACCCATCTAATTAAGTGTCTGAATGGGTTTGGCTGGGATGGGTTAAGATACAAAAAATCTAATCTATTCCTATCCTTGCCGATTATCCAAACACACCTTAAAGGCTTGTTTGGTTAATTTTTTGGGAGGGGTTTGGATTAGCATGTTTAAACTCTTCTAAACTCAAACCCTTTTTATAAAAATAATATTCAACATTCAATCGCGTACATATCCATGTTTGGCATGCGCACGGATATATCACTATTATGATAATATATTTGTATATAAATAAATATTGTGTCCGTTAACCAATTTAATTCAAACTCATGTTCATATACATATATTTTTTTGTGTCCTTATGATTTTAATATTTAATTATTTAGGGCATAAATATTTGATTATTTGGGATATATGAGTTATATAGGAGTATAAATATCATTTTACATGTTCAACCCTTTAATCTCATATGAAACCCACCCTGCATCGGGTTTCATAAAACCTATTAACATGAGTTTACATTGTGGGCTTAAAGCGGACTAAGTTTGATAAGCTAGACTAAAAATGTAGTTGTCAATCGGTGGGTTTTATGAACTTTTTCCGACCCATCTTTCAAATTCTCCTTTATCCCACGTGCCAAACATGCCCAAAGTACACTAGTACTGCAGACAATGGTAATGGTTTTCTGGTTAAATGAGCTTTCATTGTCCTTGCAGCGAGAAGGATACAAATCACCTACCTACATAGGGCCCATGTCCACGTCCATACAGGGTCCATTAGACTTTGAAGGCCTTCACTGGAAGTACATTCTATACGGATACTTCAAAGGCCCTAAAGAAGTTTCATCAATGGGGGCCCATTGTTCTCTAGCTAACATATATAAGTTTAGATAATAGAGTATGCCTTACATGCTCATCAAATTACTATCCTAAGGGGGTGCTTGGTTGCTTATAACATGGCATGTGATTTTATAATTGATTTCAATTTAATCCAAACTGGATATAATAATCAGTCCAACTTTTATCCTATTTCATTTATACAATGTTTGCTTCACTGTTAGGATAAGGTGCGAGTCTATTGCCTTAACTTGAATTAAATCCAACACAAAGTCAATGGTACCTCTCGTCATTCTTGATCTTAATTCTCATTGTTGGTGATTTTATACCACCTCTCACGTGGGATTAGTTTATACCTTGTGTTCGGAGTATTTGACATTATAATATTATATCTATATTAACTCATGCTATAAGATTGGACCTTCTAACTTGATTCAAACATAGTATTAAGTTACCATACAACTAATTTAACCGAATCTCACTCGCTACTTGATATCCGAAAGAAACGTGCCCTAAGTTTTTGGTAAATAGAAGGAAAATGGTTGACAATTATGGTGTTTTGGTTCTAGATAATTGTAATTAACGTTTAAAGTGGATCATTAATTTATAGATTTTAATATCTTTCATTAAAATGACTAATTTATCAGAAAAAAAAAATATTATTTTGACTTGATCAATCACAATCATCGAATAGATAATAGGTCCTAATAAATACTGAAACTCACAGTTAAATCAATGATAGTAATTGCTCAAGTCAACATTTTAAATCCATGTAATATTACTCTTTACCGGGACCTTCAAAATACGATTTTGGAGGATTATTTTCCTAAATTTTTAAAATGAGGCAGGAAAATTCTTGTATAAAAAGAGAAAGAGGTTGTTGCATTTATGGCCAACCAATTGAGGCTAATGGTCCATTCCCCACGGGCTGACCCATTTGCTTTGCCACAGCATTTTGGCGGATCATATGATGAAACATGGGGCCTAGAAGTGAATTGAATCATAGTGGGTCCTTCAGTACGAATATTTCAATGTATCGAATATGTATCATACGAATTCATTAATAAATAAAGTATATAGATAATTTGTGGATATTTTTATATACGAAGTAATATATATAATTTTGAAAAAATTATTAATAAGTATTATTTTTTCCCGCAAACATCCATAAGGTCATATCATTTTTGTTTTATATCAATTAAATCTTACTCTTTATAATTTATTTGAATGAAGTCCAAAATTACAATTTCGTCTTTCTTTGGACAAATATTGACATATAAGGTATTAAGATATAACAATAGTCTTGTTCTATTCGTACATACTCCGACTTTTTATATTTTAAATTATGTATTATCTACTTGTTAGTTTTATAAAAAAAAAATTCAATTACTAATATTTTTTAAAATTGTCATTATAGGATGCAATGGAGGGCTTTGGACCCTATATATTATCAATGGAAAAGTGTTTCACGACAAAAACTCTAGTACTTTGTGTTTTTAGAATTGCAATTGAAGTGAATATTATTATTTAAACAAAAATAGAGTATCTTTGTGTCAGTAACAGTAGTTTCAATAAAATCTCGAAATTATTTTTAGAAAAAAAATAAGTAAATTAACTCATATCAAAAGGGTATGACAACTGATCCACTCTCAAAAAAACATAAAATTGAATTAAATAACAGTTGATACACAATAATGGTGTATTTATTAGCTCTAATAGTTTTCCAATGAGCAAAAAGTGAGAA